AAGCAAGGGAGAAATGGGTTAGGGAGAGAGCAGATACTGGTTTTTCAAACCACTACATATACATTCATCCATTTACTTTGCTAGGAAATCCCTGTATTCTTTTATCTTATGCGTGGAAAAGCAGGTCTGTATTATTTTACTCAGAAAAAGAACTAGCAAGATGTCACTTAAATACCTTGCTTTTCCTTGAATCCCAATTTTCTATTGAACCAGAAGGTATCTGGTTGCATATTTAAAAACATGGAAACAGAGTGAGTCAGAAGGAGTCTCCCGGACCATCTAGTCTGACCTCCGGCCCTAGCCAGCTCCACTCACGACATGCCTACCATTTTTATGGGTTCATGGAACTACAGATAACATATAGTGGCCCCAAGCATCATAGCCAACTCCAAAATGACAGAGGCATATAACAATATTGTTTAGTCTATGGGACATCTGAGTTTTAAGATGCTTTAGCTCAGTATATCTGTGAGATGGTTGTTATAGTTTAAGTTATTCATGATTGCCCATATTGGCATCAGCAAACAGTATCACAGTGGCTTTAAAGCAAAGGGGTAATTCTACATATGCCACTAAACTATTCTAGTTGCCACTGTCTGATCAGTACTGAAGGTGTGGGGTTCCAGGCAATTTGCAAGGTTGTACTGTTTTCAGATACTTCCTACTTTGGTACTGTGCACAGCAGAACCTCAATTTATCAGTTCCTTATAGCCTTGGAAGTTAAGATATTCAGATTGCATTTGCATGTCCAAGAGGGCTTCCATGTTAATTTTCAGTAGAGGTGAACAAGCAATACCAAGTGTGCAAAGCTATATACATGTGTGGTAGTCTTCCAACTTGAGGTGAATGGGAAGGCCCACTCATAAGGAGTGTATATGTAGAATTAATACCTTGTAACCTGCAGAGTGGACACTGCATTATGAGGGAGGGAACCATGCAACTCCTTCCATTATAAGATTGAGCATTGTTATGGAAAAGATGATCTGAAATGAGAGAAATCTAGATGTCTTAATATGTTAAGAGCTTGTATGAGTCAAATAGACTTAAATTGACCTTTGGATTTAACTCTAATTTTAATTTGGTTTATTTAACTTCAGCCTTTTGCAGAAAGGGGTGTGGGAGGTAAATTCCACAGCAGTAGTCTATTAAGATAGGAAGGTGGCATTCAGAGTACACATGGAATATTCATTGGCCTGTTTTTCTTAAGGAAAGGGGAGGTTTGCTGCTTAATATTTTGTTGATTCACAACATTAGTCATTATTTTGATTTAAAATATGGTTGATGCAGTGCTCACACAATGGCATCAAGCAGATTTAAATCAAAATAATGACAAAGGTATTTAAAAAGTATGTTCAGTTGAATTGCAAGTGTAATATTTCAAAAAGTTTGAAATTGGATTGTGGACACAAGAAGATAAAGTGCGTTTAACAACAATTAATATTGTTACAACTTCTTTATACATGTTCTGTATAGTATGTTCATGAACCTAACTTTTAGAAGGAAGATCCAAACTAAATGATTTTATGAATTTAGTAGAAATAAATACTTAATCCTTACTAACATGTTGAGAGGAAGATGAAAAAAATTACTGTGACTTTTTACATACATTAGTGATACTTATTACTTGAAAAGAGGCTGCAAGGTTTATAGGAATTCACATACATTATCTTTGAATAAAAAAGGTAAAGGTAAAAGTTTCCCCTTGACATTAAGTCCAGTCATGCCTGGCTCTAGGGGGCAGTGCTCATCTCCGTTTCCTAGCTGAGGGAGCCAGCGTTTGTCCACAGACAGTCTCCGTGGTCATGTGGCCAGCCTGACTAAACACTGAAGTGCACGGAACGCTGTTACCTGCCCACCGAAGTGGTACCTTTTTATCTACTTGCATGCTTTCGAACTGCAAGGTTGGCAGGAGCTTGGATGGAGCAACAGGAACTCACCCCGTTGTGCAGATTCGAACCGGCGACCTTTCAATCAACCAGCCCAGCAGCACAGCGGTTTAAACCACTGCGCCACCTGCAGTCTCCTATCTTTGAATAGCCAGTTTCAAAAACAATCCAACAGACCTATTTAGGTTTAAATTTAGTAAACTGTCTTTTACAAATAGGTTCTCAAAACTGCTTTTGAAGTTTATATGCTTGCTGCCTTTATATCTAGAACAATGAGAAGGGAATTAATTTTGAAAGTTCAAAATAGATTTTAAAGTAAATACTGAATTCAAAATACTATTTTGAGTTTGCAAATAGTTGTATACTTCAATACAGATAGGATACTAAGCAGAAGGTTCATTTTTCCATCTCCAAGATAACGTATGCAATCTTTCAAACCAACCAGTTCTTAAGAAATTAGTCTAATCATAAATGGGACCTGCAATAAAATGTTAACAGTATGAAATGATGTACCATTTTATTGCAGCTCTGTTCCGACTAGTCAATTTCATTGTATCAGTTTTCCATTTTGTTTCCAACAGTCACTGAGCTTGAACTGTTTGAAGTTTTTCCCCTTGCAAGGAAAACTTTTGTTGTACTCATGTAAACCTTGGATTTCCCCTTGACTATGCTGTGATACCTTCTTGCTATCAATATTTATAATGTTAGATAACATATATAGAGTTCATCGCTTCTTTGCATGGTATTCTTTTGCCTAGGAATAGGCATGTGGTCTTAGTTTGCAGTCACCAAAATAAACCCAGAGTTTAAAATAATACTGAGGCCTGTTGAATTGCACTTCTACTAATTTTAAGTGAAAGTGTTATTTTCTTGGTGGTATCACTTTTGTTTTAGAGGACACAGTATAAGGGTTAAGTGCAACCTAGAGCCTTTATAGTAGTTGAGGGGTGCTTCACCAGTTGGATGTGTCCAGGGATAGTTTAGGAATCCAATAATTATTGATATGAGTTGGGATGATTTTAAAATGACTGAATTTAACTCTCTGAGGGCATTGTAAGGAACTTCATGGAAGATCTGGAAGTTGCTGGTTCCCAGCCCACTCAGTCCTGGTAAATGATTGTGAGAATTTCTCACATGGCAGCAGTTTTCTTATTTGGTGAGATTCTAAATCACCAGTATATGAACAAATGGCATTTGTGAAGTAGGGTTTGTTTTTTTTGTTTTTTTTTGCATTGGGGTGATTTATTTCTCAAGGGGCTAGAAGAACAGTTTATCCCTTTGTACTAAATTCTTTTTGTACTGTACTATGAATAGTTAAAATGTAAACTGTTTCTCCTGTGCATATTCAGTTTATTCATTTATAAAATTGATCCCCTGTATCTTCAATGCCTGTTGGCTGTTTCAACATAACTCTCATTTGAAATCCCCAGTATTTTTAATCATATGGGTTACTTGAAACATTTAGGGTATACTTGAGAACATATATCTGGCGGGGGGGGGGGGGGCGTTCTGTCTTAAAGATAAGAGAATGTTTTATAGGCTATGGAACAGTGGAGGGACAGTGTTTTATTTACGCAAACTGCCCAGTTTATTTTACATAAATAAAAAGAAAAGGCATTATTAAAGAAGGGTTATTCAGCATGAAGTGAGCATATATCTGCTTATACAACAGGGCTTTCTCTTCCTCTCCTCTTTCCTGTGCCCCTAATTTGCTCTTGAGGCCCCCCCTAAGCTCCTCAGCAGATTTTGAAAGGTGGGCTCACAAGCATTGTCTGTTCCTCTGGTGGAATGACACAATTTGGATACACCCCCAGGAGTGTGATGCATAAAAGTGAGCTTGCTCACGGAAAAAAACAGAATGTAGAAGTTGGTTTAAGTATAGGTGTGGATGCTGTCCCAGAAAATCTGCAGCTTCTTTATCCATTTTTGACTCATATCTGCTGTAACAAGTAGACTTTGCCCCACAGCTGGCAGGAGACAAATAGGTGGACAGTGCAAATAATGGCCATCTCTGAATGTATACATAGCAATTAAAAAGTCAAGCTCCTTCACTTTCAGCAGAAATGGGTCTATTAACTTGAGTAACATGGTTCGTGTACAAGTATATGCAGTTTTAGAGCTTTGTTTAGTAATTTATCAAAAGAAGACCCTGGTAGCAAATGTAACAGTATCTCTGACTGCCACCTCCTAGGGAGGCTCAAATGGTGACAACAAGGAGAAGGGCCTTTTCAGTGGTGGCCCCACCAGTTATAGAATTATCTCCCCACTGAGGTCTGCCTGGTGTCAGCCTTATTGTCTTTTCAGTGCCAGGTAAATGCCATTTTCTACTACAGGGCATTCAAGTAGCTTCTGTGCCCTGCTAGCTTCTAACAGGTCTGAATATTTCTTCTTTTATTCCAGCTTAATATGTGATTTTAATTTTTGAATTGTAAACGTTCAATGATGTTTTAATATGTTTTATATGATGTATCATTTTTATGTGCTTTGTGAATCACCCACTTAGGCTGTTGGGCAGTATAGAAATTAAATAAATAAAGTAAGTAAGTAAGTGAAGTATACAGGCCTTTCAGTGTAATACTGAGAGGTTATTGCTTCAAGCTGATCACAGTTAAGGCTTTCTATAGCTTGAATGGCCTAGATAAACCTGTCACAGCACTGGGTGTTGCAGCAATTAAATAGCTAATGTATTTTTACCTTTTCAGTTTTTACTTCTATATGGGACTCTTCCACTTAACTATAATTTTAATTACAGTTATTAAACCATAGATCATAATTAAATTTGTATAGTGTAAATACAAATTTATTAAAATGATTGCATCATGAAAAGAGAAATTAGCTTTGCATCAAAAAAAGAGAGAGACTGGGGGAGGGAGGTTTTATTTGCCTCTGCATCATAGTCTGTGCTCTCTGTCAAAGACTAGCATGACCTACTTTGCAACAATAGCACAAGAATCAAGCTGATTTTATTTTTTTATTTTTTATTTTTTGGTTAACTGTCTTAAATTGGCCATGAATGCTACCTACATATTCAATTGTAAGTATCTTTTTTAAAAAAATAGCAAGTGTGTTTGTGTGACTTAAGGTGGTATTTTCTCCTCTTTCCTTTCTGATTAGATAATTAGCACCATGGAGCCTCAGGTGTCAAATGGCCCTACATCCAATACAACCAATGGACCTGCCAGTAACAGTAGGAACTGCCCTTCCCCTATGCAGACAGGGGCTGCTACAGATGACAGCAAAACAAACCTCATAGTCAACTACTTACCCCAGAACATGACCCAGGAAGAGTTCAGGAGCCTTTTTGGGAGCATTGGTGAAATAGAATCCTGCAAGCTTGTGAGAGACAAAATTACAGGTAAAGTGTCTCACTGTTTATGTTTTCCTTATTTGTGGAAATTAGGAATTCCCTGCTGTGAGCTTGTATTTCTGTGCTCTTTTGCAAGATTATTATAATTTACCAAGTCATTACTGCATCTTATTATATAATACTTTGCATTACCCATTAATGTAGACATTTGGCGTCGCCTTTCTTTATGGTCCTTCTCTCAATCATCTGAACACCAGTGACAGGAGGCATACCAGATACCCTGCAATAGAGCAGATCTCACATGCATGTGTGCAAAAAAACCAAAAGAGGGAGTTGAAGGCAACTTCTTGGTTCCATATCATAACTCTGGACCTGGATGAAAATATATGATCCAGCTAAGCAGGCAGTTACCATGCATATGATAGAACACCATGCATACAGACTACTGCATGCTCAAGGTGATGACTTAATATCACATAAAATTAAAGCAAGGGATATTGCTTTAAAACTTTGTACAGGGGGCTTGAGAATAATGAAGGTGGGCATGCTTGCAAATAACAACTGACTTTTCCCAGTTCACACAGTGAATTCATGATTTTAGCTCACTTTCAAAAATAGTATCATTTTACTCTTTCATCTGTGCACCTGTGCACACAAAAAGTCAGCATGCATTGAATATCATCCTGTAGTTAAGTTGTTTTGCTTCACATGTCCTTATGCATGAGTGAAAATATGAATCCTTTTGCAGTTCAGTTTGGTTCATAGTTGTCTGTAGATTCTATCTGATAATTGAACACTGCTTGAATTTAAAAATACCAGAAACGTTGCCTTATTTGATGTCACTTTGTTGAAGAATTCATCCCTTAGTTTACTTCCATAATACTTGAGAAGACTGTTCCCAGGATGTCAAGAAAAGTTTGCAAACTTCCTAGGATGTCTATTGGATCTGCTTTTGTTTCTTTAGTACTCAATCCATTTATTTCACAGTGGTAATTGAGTATACCACACTATATATATGCGACCCCACCCCTTGTCAGTTGTCTTGGGAGGTACATTAGGTGACCAGCATGGGAATATCAGGTGTAGGATTAACATTTTAGTGGAACAGAGTGAGAATTGTCAGAGAGCGGTAATGTAGGTAAGTTAGGGTAGTTTAAGAAAGGATTTGATGAAAAAGTGGATCATTAGAACAACTTAAAGAACTGTGAAGGCATAATGATAAAGCTGGAAATGGAACAAAGTTGGCTCTGTTGAATGTTGACAGGGAGAGGGTGAAGAAAAGCAGTCAATGGAGAAGGTATAGTTGATGGTGGAGAGATGGACAGCTTTTAAAAATAAAGTTTAGGGACTTGGTATTGATAATGTGGTAGAATGATAGGAAGTCAGTGTTAGATACTTTGAATTTGCTAAAGAGGACAAAGATGCCTGGAGGGAGGACTAGTCAGGGAGTTTTGATTTTGTGGAAAAGAGGTGATCAGACTATGAAGAATGATTATTCATTAGATACAGGCTGAGTACCAGAAGATGCAGAATTTCCACGTGCCTGCTGGGGCTTAAGTCTTAAGGCTTTATTTCACAGGCCCTCTCATCAGCCCCAAATCCATGTGCCAAATTATGAAATTCTCTAGAGTGGAATTATTATTGAATTGCATTATATCCTACCATTCTTCCCTTAGTAAGGAACTCAAGGTAACTTGCATAGTTCTCTTCTGCGCCATTCTATCCTCACAGCAACCCTATGACGTAGATTAGACTGTGAGTGACTAAATGTACCCCGCCAGCTTCATGGTTGACTGGGAATTAGAAGCTGGATCTCCTGGGCCCCCAGTCTAACACTCTAACCACCATACCTCACTGGATCTCCACACCACACTGTATTGCAAGGACTGAAATAAACGTATAAAAATGTATGTGTGGCCATAGAACTTTTCTGTTCCAAGAAAAAAAATAGAATAAATGGAATTTGGAGGGGCATCGAAAAAAATTTTAGAGACTACTTGAATGGGAGAGAGGAGGAATCTCCATTTTTGGGAAAAGTGGAGGGATAATGGTATCTCCAAGAGTGGCTAAAAATGAGAAATAACATCACCCATATAGAAGAGCAATGCATTGTTAATGGGTAGTAAGGAACAGTTTTAAAGGGGGACATACCAGAAAGACTGAAAACAAGTAAATGAGAGAATATTGTGAGTGTTTGGAACATGTGAAGAAACCCTAAGGGATGAGATGTAGGTTCTGATATTGAAGTGGATGAGCTATTTCAGATTTGAGAGTACAGGAGTGATATAGGATGAAGAAGATAATATATAGAGGGAAGGGAATATAGAAGTGGCAATCCAAAGTTTCCTTGAAGATTACAAAATCTTTGGTTGTGAGATTGAGGAGTAGGTAAAGAAGAAACTGCTTTGACAAAAGCAAAAATTAAGTTATGAGCCTAGTTGGTAGACAATGGCCATTCATTTACACTGAGATTATTAATGAAATGTATATCATTAAATCCCACCATATACTGTATTATATTCAAGAGAAATATGTGTATGCACAGGTGATAAGACAGCTGGCCTGCTTTTCAGCATCTGTTGGAAAGAACTGCATCTTTCAGTCAAGTGCAGTTCGGTAGGCAAATTTTTAAAACAGCTGTTAGTACAGCAACTTGCTTCCTGATGGTGTAAGAGAGTTCTGTGATCCACTTAACCCCACTCTGTAGAGGACTAGCTGAAGTTTCACAGTTGTGATTAGAAGATCATAGGAAAGAGCCGAAGAAGCTGCCTTATTATGTCAGGTTATTGGTCCAGCTAGTTCAATATTGTCCACACTAACAGCAGCTCACTAGGGTTTCATACAGGGATCTTTTCGGGACCTAGTTGGAAGTACCAGGAATTGTAATTAGGACTTCTTCCAGCAATGCATATGCTCTGTGAGTGATCTGTGGCACAGTCACCTGGTGCACTGCATAAGAGTAAATATAGGCGAAGCTAAATGATCTATAGTTCGCCCATGCATGCTCTTTCCCAGCTGGGCTGGGGAACCAAATAAAGCTTGATTGGAGTGGTTGTTGTTTGGTCTTTGTCAGCAGGCACTGACCAACAAACAGCAATTTGTATAGAGCAGGGGTCTCAAACTCGCGGCCCATGGGCCAATTGCCGGGACAGGCGGGGCACAGGGGAGGGGCCCTACGGCCTTCAAAGCGCCGGCGGTGCCCAGGCCGGCGGCGGGATGAGCGGCCCACCACCACCGCGGTGGTGGAATACTTGATGCAGCCCAGCCTCACCCAGACTCTACTTCCAGTGGCCCCCAGGTAAGTTGAGTTTGAGACCCCTGGTATAGAGCAGCCTTCTTCAACCTTGTGCCTTCTTAGATACATTTGGACCACAACACTCAGAATTCCTAGTCAATTGCAATGCTGGATGGAAATTCTGGGAGTTGCAGTCCAAATGCCTCTGAAGGCCACCAAATTGAGGAAGGCTTGACATAGAGCCTTCTGCAGATAGCATGGAAGGATCAGAATCTGAAAGAATGAGCAGGAATTGCTTTGACAAGCATAGGAGATTCACTGAACATCTAAAGACCAGAGCTGAGCTAAATATTTAATCCAATTGGATTTCTGAAGCTTGTGGTTCGGAGTCAAGATGTACTTCTGTGCTTTTTACTAAGCAGAATGAGGAGAACATTGCCTGAATACATGTCTGATATGCATAACCCGTCCGCACTGAAAATGTAATTTGAGTCACTCAGAAAAGTGACACAAGCCACTTCCCACCACACTTTCACAGGGAATGACACTCTGGCAAAAATGGTTGAAGTTATTCAGCTGTATATCAGCAGGCCAGCTGAGCTCCTAATTCCTTCTTAAATTAGAATATTTGCCCTGCAGTCCTGCATTGCAAGTTAGCCTCCAGGTGGACCTTTTTGCTTTATTGCCATAAACTTCCTGCGGACTGAAGTTCTGGAGCTGTGAATTCTAGTTCCTTTCTACATATGTCTTATACCTTGGACTTGCAGGCCAAGTAATTCACCTCTACAGTGTTAGGTTGAACCTCAGTCTGCCTTGAAGTCTATCTAAGGGATTCCTCAAGAAAACTCCAGCAGACCTATATCCATAGAGGTTCTCTCTGCTTAAAAATTGCTGAAATGCCTAGAGTTTGGGACATTCTGGCAATTATATTGACTTAGATTTTGTTATTCTGAAACTTGGTTCCTGCAGTCTTGACAAGATCTAGTTCAGCTTCTTCTTAAATAATACACTTCTTAAATGGTATAAATTTATACCATTTGACATGTTTGGTAATAGGTGTTGTGGAAGGTGTGGAAAGTATGCATTGATAGGTGTTGTGCTGAAAGCAGTCATGATTTCCCATTATATAAATACTACCAACTTCCAGTGTTGTTACGTCACAATGGCCATGTGCATTCACACTAACGAATAAATTTATATTATGACTGATACAATTCTAATATATGAAATTGTGTGTATTTATAACTCAGAGAACAAGCTAATGAAAACTTCACTGTTTCTTATGCTGCAAAGAAAGTATTATGATTTTAATAAGTTTTATCTTATTAAAGTTCTAAGTTTTATCTCCAAAATAACTTGATAAGAAGTTCAGAGATAAAGTCTGTTGAATTACAAAATCTGTTGGAACACAGTATATACAATTTTGATATTTCAAATAATCTTTTAAATAATCTTTTATTGCAAGACTGAATGCATCCTAAACACCTACCTGCCTTAGTACATCCAAATATGACATTTTTCTATAGTCTTTCCGTTAGCTTAGTAGTAACATACAGAGTTTTCAGTTGATTTTTAGGTATGCAGTCATTTTTGGAAGCTGATTCATGATATTGCAAGCTTATTCTTTTATGGAAAATTTGGTAGCAAATCAAATCAAGTTGACTGGGAATTACAGTTCCTGAGATAGCCTTTATTTAGACTTCAAAACCAAAAATATAAACTTCAGTTTTATTTAATATGTTGCAAACATAAACAGGAATTCCTAGTTTGTGTTTTAATAAATCAAGCTTAACCTACCTTGCAGGGTTGTTTT